GAACTCCTGAGCTCAAACAATCCGCCCGCCTCGGCCTCCCAGAGTGCTAGGATTACAGGCGTGAGCCACCGCGCCCGGCCCAGAAATGGTTTTAAACAACTTTCGCCTGTTTCCAAAAGCCACAACCACCCTCAAAGGACCAAATTTGGCACCATGAAGGATAATGGCAATCCCCAGAGAAGCATCTTGAAACATTTTGAGCAATAGCTCATAAAAAAGATCACTTGAAAACAACTTGGAAGGGGATGATGTATTTGGATGTATTAGTCCTGAGATGTTAGATAAATTGGGTTTTATTACAATTTTTCAGATATATATTCATTTATCTCCTTCAACAAAAGTCAAAGAATACACCTCATTAGTTCAAACCAGAAATATGAATTAGGGTAAATTAGTAGGAATTAGCATAAATTTCTGTAATGTCCCAAAGACTCTATATGAGGGTACCCTTCTAATGGTCAATGGATAAATTCCATATACTCAAATGTAATCTTACTAGTAAAGTACATTAAACAGATATGGGCAAAGAGAATCTCTTGTTTTTGAGAAAATCTAAATGTCAAAAAGTTTTATTTTTGAAACACATTATAAAAAGTGTTTGACTTAGTTAGCTTCAAGTTTCCGATATTATGAATTCAGTGGTAATTCACAGCAGAATAGATGCCAAGGAGCACATTTCAAAGAACCATCCTGCATCCTTTGATGACAAGTTCTTATTCCTGCACACTTATAAAGGCCAATTCCTGTCCCATCTAACTACTAAAAGTGTCCAAATTATTTTTTATTCTAGAATTTCATTTTTGTATTCTGAAAATTCATGAGTCATCAGTGGGGGCCTAAAAATCACGACTGAAGAAAGACAATAAGAAAAAAATACTGAATATATTCATTTGATTCTCAGGAGAGTAAAAACTTTAAGTCAGGGATAGGACCTTTTTAACCTTGGTATGCCCTAGAATCTAGCACAGTACTTGGCATGTAAGGGGCGCGTCATGAGTTTATGTGTGCATTACAAAGTAAATTTGGACCTTTCTAGGGTTTTGCATAAGTCCACTGTCATTTGGAATGTTTCAAATAAGCGGTCCTTCTTAAAGACTTGTATTATTACACCGAAATCTTTAACAGTAAGACATGGAAGGCCCTGCAAGATATTACGTCTTTAGTCACAGTGGCCTTTCTTGAAAAAAGGCATTATTTCCTAAATCTTCCCTTAGATATACTTTGGATACATCTAACGTGGCATTTTAGAA